CAAATATACCCCCATACCTTAAAATATACCCCCATACCTTAAAATACCCCCATACCTCATACCTCCAAGGTATAATTTCATGCACACTATACTACTGGCGACCCTCAAATTGTTAGGGTTAAAAAGTTCTCGTTTCACGGTTGCCAGGAACACTTCAATCTCCGGGATGCTTAATTAATCATTAATCATTATTTAATCTTGTTAGATTCAACTATGCTTTTGTGAATTACCTACATGTAGCGAGATTCGCAATTGTATTTTATAAGAAAATAAAAGATGGTTTTCATTATTTTTATTATTATTACTTAGTCTCTAAGCTCCTGGATGGGGACGAGGCTAAGTTAAATTTACACCTGCAGTATGAATGATATCTCTACTCTGGTTGTCTGTGAAACAGAAATTCGTGATTATTATTAGCAGTTTTCGTATTCTAAAAAAGGTGAATAAAAGAAAGATTGCTCACTTTTGTATAAATACTCGCTTTGTACTTGTCTATTTTCCGTCAAGATCCTGTGACTCGCGGGATCTGTGACAAAGTATGAAACACTGGTCACGTGATGTATCGATGTGTGCCCAGATCGAGGGGGTTGCTCTCTCGTATTTAAGGTGGGGGTGATAGTCGGAAAGTTTAAAAAGTACCTTTAAAGATACCAGCCTCTTAAGAAAAAGGGCTTGGCAACACAATATTTTCACATCAACTAATTGAGTAAGTTCTCAAGATAGGATGCAAACCAGGCAAGTGCTTTGCCATGCAGTCCACATAATTACTGTAATCTTTTCAAAAGGATACGATGGTCAACTGTATCAAAGCCAGCGCTTACAGCCAGCCCATGCTCATGCGTAGATCATTTCTCGCGTTCATCAGTTTCTGTGTTTTCGATACGCACTTTGTTAGTATGGCAGTAAGTTATTATCTGCCATGAGATGATGAATATGTGTAGCTGCTGATTTCTGCATCAGCTTAGATACAAATTGATTAGAGATTGTTCACCAGGCGGAAATTCGGCGGTCATTTTAAACCATTTTAGATGTTTGAAAACTCAAAAATGATTCATTTAAACATGTTAATAGTAGAGATTGCATGTACAACTTTTGGTGTTAATGGCATCTTGTAAGCAAAAGATGACCTCATCAAAATGAAGTCTAATTGTACTTAATGTAAATAGAGCTTTTCAGTATTAAGAAATCGAAAGAGCTACGTCGTAAATATCGTTATCACGAAGCAAGTCGTTATATTCAGTGCAGCTCGTTATTTTCTTCTCTCATGCAATAGCTCGACAGACCATGAGAAAAGCGCGACCGCGGCTTGTTCTTTTCTTCTCCCAAGCAATAATGGGCAGCATATGCACAGAAAACATTATTTGGCAAAACGCCTTGGGACTTTCACGCTTTTCGTAACTGTCTTCTTTTTGTCCATGTATTTCCTGCCTAAACTCCCTTTTAATGTTGTGGTTGGGTGGTTGAAGGTTTTCGTTCGCTTCGAACACAACACTGAATCAGGGGAGAGAGGTGGTTTCGAGTGTAGAGGAGTAACAGGGTAATACCAACTCCATTGACCCTATAGCCCAAAAAGTACCAAGGATTTGCCCAAGTCTGTATCCAGCGAGTGCATAATACCACAGGAAATCCTCATTTTACTAAGAGCTCGCATTAATATAATATTGAAAAGCGTATGCGTTCTTTCCTTCCACAATTTTTGTACACGAAAACTACTTAAAAAATGTTAAAATACTATTATTCTTCCAGAAGACAACTGACCCCTGTTACCTGTAAAAGGTTCTGTCCACTTTTGGGCGAAATTTGGCAAATTCTGAATTTACTACATTGTTTATGTGTTTCTTGTCGGCAGCACCTAATTTTACACCTTTAACGATACCTAAATAAAAGAAATAAAGGGCATTAACATAACAAAATTGTTTTRGAAACCTATAACCTGAGCTACATTAAATAGCAAAAAAAAATTAAATAGCAGACTAATGTAAGTCAGGACATCACATGTTCGCATGACTCAAAATCACCTTTAGTTATGGGTAATAAAAGATTCATACATTTAAAATTATTTGCTGACACCGAAAAGATTATCAGTGATGATTATATACAGGTTACAAGCTTAATTTTCACTACAAAATTGCACGACTTTTGAAGTTCTTTTTCAGGAAAAAAAAACAATTTTCAAGGACTTCTTTTGAATACCTTTTTTGACGTTCCTAAAAGTCTCCAGAAGCATAACAGCATAATTTTGAAAAATACCATTCTTTACTCAATACGTTAAAAAGCAACATTTCTATTTTTCAAGGCGTGKTACATGAGTTTTAGCATGTCAATCAGAAACAAATCGAATAGAATGATTTGTCTGTCCATTTTTTCTAACAATTGATTTCAAAGAATTCGAATGCCGCAGTTAAAATGCGTTTGTTAGATCAGGCATTTTATTGTTCTAACATTGGGCTGTTATTTGGACCATTTTAGAGTAGTTTGAAGTGGTTTGGTAGTTTTCTTATAAAATGTATTGCCGAAAGTTTATCGAACATTCCCCATTGATGGAAGAACGGTCTTTGTTTGTGCATTCTCTCGAAGATAATTGGGCCAGAGAGCCTGATACTCAGACTATCATTCTATGTACTTAGGAAGTGCCGTGTGCAATCGTAAGCCCTTAGCGGTTTGGGCCCCGGGCACAAAACACATTATACATTTTGTATTAGAAGTGCTATTTAGCTTACTCCGGTCGATAATATTCAACTTATTGCTCTTTGTGAAATAGCAGAAATTATAAAGGAGTTTATTATCAAAACAAAAACTATTTATGCACTAGTCAATTGAAATCCCCGGGACTAGCGGGGCACTGAACTGGGCGTGACGCGTTTTTAACAGCAAGATTGCCCCGGGGGGTAGGGATTTTGATGAATTGTTTCGAAGGGGGCAAAGAGCGGGGATTTTAACACTCGTTTGATCATGTATGAGTCTTAAAAAAAATGAAAGCATTGGTTTTCAACCCTGTTTTTGCATTTGTTTATTTTTCCTTGCAAGAAAACTTTTACCAAGAAATACTTTACCAATATAGTGGGAACACAGTATCGGGGATTTTAACAGTGCATGATCGGGGGGCGGGGATTTCAATTGACTAGTGCATTACACAAGAAATGATACATTAAACTATACAAAGGATGAAATACGATGAATATTTATATAAATAGCCCAAACAATTTCGTTTATTTCATTATATAGTCTCAGTTATTTTCCATGAGAGTCGTTATATGTATCGCATATACTTCACAGCCATGTCCATCCATACATGAATGGTAGGCACTATTAAAATGTAAATCTTATATAATGGCTTACCATTGTCCAGAATTCCAGCTAGAATAATGCCCCCTTGTGAATTCAAAAATCCTGAGCCATACTTTCTTATGTGCTAAATGTGCAATAACAATAATTATTAGATCAGAGCTTTTAAATTAATTAAAATTTATTTATTTGCAAAAAMTTTCCTTCCCCTATACATTTTTGTGCCGAGGAAAAGAAAGGAAAGAAAGATAATTGGGAGCTGTAYGTAGAAAGATTAGAAATTTATTTCGCTGCTAACGACTTGGACGAAATTCCACCCGCTGAAGATGGCTCAAATGCTGACGCTGTAAAACGAAGAGCAGACAAACGAAGAGCAATWCTACTTAGTGTTATAGGCCAGSAGACCTACAGTTTACTGAGAAACCTAGTTTCGCCCGCTAAACCTACAGACAAGTCGTACAACGACCTGGTAAGTGCATTAAAGAAACACTATGAACCTACTTGCTCAGTCACAGTAGAGCATTATAAGCTTCACACTCGCACTAGAAAGCCAAATGAAAGTGTTCCCGAATACGTCAGCGAATTGAAAAAACTTCCCGAGAAATGTAACTTTAAAGAAAMATTGAATGACATATCAAATAAATGGTTGTAGGTTGGTCTATTCATTACGATGTAAGCGCTACTTCAACCTAAAAGTTATTTATTTTTGTCGAGCTTTCGGCTCACCGAGCCATTATCAAGACTGCGGATGATCCCGCAAAATTATCTCTGTGTAATTAGAAATTAGTTACCGCGCGCGCTTATTAGATCTTCTCAGAGCGCGCGCTCATTGTTTTTATGTTGTTTTGTAAAATGTAACGTTTTTCATTCAGTCTTATAATGGCTCGGTGAGCCGAAAGCTCGACGAAAATAACTAACTTTTAGGTTGAAGTAGCGCTTACATCGTATTGAATGACATGTTAAAAGACAGGCTAGTAGCCKGAATAAATGATGAGAAAATTCAGAAGAGATTACTCATTGAAGCTGACCTTACATTTGAGAAAGCTTACAGTATTTCAGTAGCACAGGAATTRGCAAACAAAGACGTGCATGTCTTACATAATCCTGCTGTTTTAGTAAACGCTTCARTTAAYAAGGTTTCTAATKCACCAAGGAATARGYCACAAAAATYCAGTHATACGCCTACAACTCAAGCTAAAGCTTCTAAACCAAAATTYCAAGGCAAGAAACAGTGTTTTAGGTGTAACGATAAATCACATTTAGCTCCTAAATGTAAATTCATCAATGCTAAATGCCGTTACTTGACAGAAAAAAGGTGCTTGTAATAAAAAGATAAGTGGTCATATTTCGCTTAAAATATTATTATTATGTACAAGGATGAAAATATATTAGATAGTGTTATGAAATTAAAAACGTTTTCGACTATGAGTCATCTTCAGTTGTGTCTAAAAATTTTACTTACTAAAAGTTACTTACACAATAGTATAAAATAAAGTACGAACAAGGTAGACAATAGTTTGAAATGATGTGGTAAATTAAGGAGACAATA